CCCCCCCCCCCCCCCCCCCCCCCCCCCCCCCCTCTCCCACCACCACCAACATTCTCCGCCTACATCATCATCATTTCATTTGTTTCTCTCCGACCTCCGACGTCCTTTTCTCTCATCCACCCTCTCTCCCTCTCTCTCTCTCTTTCTTTCATCATCCGACCCCTGGCCCTCTCTCCAATCCTCGGTCAACGCCGGTATTTGGTTACCTGTTGTTGATCTCTCTCTTTCTCATCTCTCACCCACCGCCACGGGCGAGAGAACGACAACATGGCTCAAGACCCCTATCCCGGTGCAGCACAGGCTGCCAACATCAACCCCAAGGATGTCGCTCCCAGCAGTCTAAACAAGCGCCAGCAGGAGGCCGTGGCCAACGTCGTGGCTCACGACGCTGCCAAGGGTGCCACCGTCTACGTGAGTCCTTGCTGTGACCAGGTGATTGCCACGGTCTGCTGGCTGCTAAATCAACACCTTCTTGCCATTAGAGGCTGCAGCCAGGCTGCCAGGTTGAGCTCGGTGCCAACGTGCCAGCTTGCAAGGTGACCCTCGGCCCTCAAGAGATCCCAGAGGCCAGGGATCGCATATTGACCTGCTTCGGCTGAGCGCTACAATTCCCGACATGCCTCTCTCCACTGCTGCATCTCTATCCACCTTCCTTCCTCCAGTGCATCAGCTGACATTCAGAGCTTTGACCCCAAGGCATCGCCTGAGGAGAAGACCGAGGTCGCGGGTTCGAAGAGAGGCGGCCTGAAGGGCGTCTTCGGTGCTCCCAAGGCCCTCGGCCGAGGAGTTGTCAGTGTCGGCCAGGGTGTTGGCAAAGGCGTAGGCGCGGTCGGCAAGGGTGCTGTCCAGGGCGTCGGCGCTGTGGGCGGCGCTGCCATTCATGGCGTCGGCGCTGTGGGCAAGGGTGCGACCGGCGTCGTGACCGGTGTCGGTGGTGCTGCCATCGGCGGTGTCGGTGCTCTCGGCGGCCAGGCCAAGAACGTCCTCGGCTCGATGCCGGGTATGGGCGCACTCAAGGATGATCCCAAGAACAGTGCTCGTGGTGAGTCGCCTGGAGCGTCGGGCGGTGTCGATCGACAGACATGTCTCAGCGGATGGAGGTGGCGTCCAGTCATCCGTGCACATCCAGAATGCGATGTGCCCTTCGCGACGAGGCATGCGAAGAGGGGGGGATAGAGGGCACGTTGAGGGGTCTCAAGAGCCCGCGCTGACCGTGCACAGCCGTCGCCATTGACACGTCGACCGCTGGCTCCGCCCCGAAGCCTACCGTTTCCCTCGCGGACGCCAAGAAGGCATCGGCCCCCACTGTGCGTTTTGTTCATCTCACTCCTCTCACACACTCCTCCCTCCTTCCTTCCCCGAAATCAATCTTCTTCCGCTCACCTCTTTCCCCCCACACTCGTTCACCATTCTCCTACTCTCTCTCTCATGGATTCGGCACTGACCTCGCAGGAGGACGACATTCCTGGTACCATCCCCAAGACTGTCCTGCCCGGCATCCCGGAATGGGTACGTATACGACTACCTCTGTGCGGGAGCGGAGGCTGACTACAACAACAGATGGGGATCGGTTGGAAGGAAGTCGCTGGCATCGCGGGGCAGGGCAGGCCCGACGCTCAGACTGCCCAAGAACTGAGCATTCTTAGCGGCTTCCTGTGAGTGCTGCAGTGTGGTGTTTGGGCCAGCTGCAAGTGCAAGATGGCGTGCTGACGCATCCAGCAAGGAGCAGTATTATGGCTCGTGGTATCACAATGCCGGCGTCGTAAGTGATGCGAGGGTGAACGCACGGCGTTCGCCATCGCGGTCTCCTTCAGTGCTCACACCAGATCTTTTTCGCTGTCCTAGCGACCCGCTTCGTGACGTGGCTCCGCTTCGGCTGGGGCTCGCTGTTTATCATTCTGGCTACTTGCGCCACCTATTACTCTCTTTCGATTAAGCGTACCCGTCAGCGCGCTCGCGACGACATTCAGCGCGAGCTGAGCAAAACCCGCTTGATGACCGAGAACGAGTCTGCCGGCTGGCTGAACAGCTTCCTCGAGCGCTTCTGGCTGATCTACGAGCCCGTTCTTTCCAAAACCATTGTCGATGGCGTTGCCCCCGCCCTAGAGGCCAACTGCCCGAGCTTCCTCGACTCGCTCAAGCTCACCACCTTCACTCGTGCGTCACCCCGCATGCGCTATACAAAATACTGACAATGGTAACAGTCGGCAACAAGGCGCCCCGCATCGACTACGTCCGTACATTCCCCAGGACGTGAGTTTATACCCCTGAAACGCGTCGACGCGTGGACCCGCCGCGTGTCTTTCGATCGAAACTGACGTCAGTCCCGACGACATTGTTGTCATGGACTGGGCCCTCTCATTCACTCCCACCGACGATTCGGACATCCCTCCCAATCAGGCCGAGCACCGCACTAAGCCAAGGATCGTTCTCGAGATCCGTGTCGGCAAGGGCATGGTTTCGACGGGCATGCCCGTCCTCCTCGAGAACATCTGCTTCTCGGGCCGCATGCGTATCAAGATGACGCTCATTAACAACTTCCCGCACATTCAGAAGGTCGAGATTAGCTTCCTCGAGCAGCCCACGTTCGACTATGTTCTCAAGCCCATTGGAGGTGACACCCTTGGGTTCGACATCAACAGCATTCCTGGACTTGCCCCATTCATCCGCGATCAGGTTCACTCGAACCTTGGCCCCATGATGTACGACCCTAATGTCTTTACGCTCGACCTCGAGCAGATGATGGCTGGCTCGCCTCTCGACGCCGCCAACGGTGTTCTTAAGGTCCAGATCATCGATGCCAAGGACCTCAAGGGCGCCAAGTTTGGTGGCGGTGACCCGGACCCGTATGTCTCGCTCTCTGTCGGCGCCAGCGAGGCAGTGGCCCGCACCAGAACCATCGAGTCGTCCACGTCTCCCACCTGGAACGAAACTCAGTTCGTCCTCATCAAGTCGCTCAACGACATGCTCAGCCTTAACGTCATGGACTACAACGAAATGCGCTCCGATGCTCTTCTCGGAACGGTCAACCACGAACTTCTCACGCTCGCCGAGGACGCCGAGCAGGAGGGCATCGTTGGCCGCATCTTGGACGCGGGCAAGGACCGTGGGGAGATGCGCTACAACCTCTCCTACTACCCAGCTATTCTCCCGGAGAAGAACCCCGACGGCACGTTCCAGCCTCTTCCCGATGTTCCCTCCGGAATTGCACGTCTCGAGATTCTTCAAGCTAAGGACTTCGGCCTCGGCAACGACATCAGCGCCAAGGCTCTCATCTACCTCGGCAAGGGCAAGGTTCCCATCCACGAGACCAAGGTTGTCAAGAAGAACGCCTCGCCTGGCTGGAACGACCACGTAGAGTTTATCTGCGCCGACAAGAACGCTTCTGTCATCACCGCTCGCGTCATCGACACCAAGTCTGAGCGTGAGATCGGTCGCGTCGCTGTTCGCCTCGCCGACATTCTGGAAGGCAAGGCGAAGGGCAACGACTGGTTCCCCCTGTCCGGCTCCAAGGGTGCCAAGATCCGTCTCACCGCGGCCTTCAAGCCTGTCAACCTCCCAGGATCTATTGACGGCGCCAGCACCTACGTTCCTCCTATCGGCGTCCTCCGTATCCACCTCAAGAACGCTGTTGACGTTAAGAACGTTGAGGCGATGGGCAAGTCGGACCCGTACGCCAAGGTCATGGTCGGCTCCAAGACGTTTGCCCGCACGGAGGTCTGCGACGATACCCTTAACCCCACCTGGGACCAGATCGTTTACGTTCCAGTCCACAGCCTCAAGGAAAGGGTCACAATCGAACTCATGGACTACCAGAACATCGGCAAGGACCGCAGCCTCGGAAGCGTTACTCTCAATGTCTCGGAGACGGCCATTGAGAACCCAAGCAACACGGCTTATCCCTACCAGTCCACCGGTCGTCGCTCCCTTTCAGAGCGCATCTTCCTCGGCAAGAACAATCAGTACAAGGGCACTCTCAACTTTGACGTTGACTTTAACCCAGCCATGTCGCTGCGCGGTGGTGTCTCGTTTGACGCCAAGGCGAACGACGTCCAGGAGGCTGCTCAGGCTGCTGTCAGCGCCAACGGTAGCTCGCCTAACGGCACAACCGGGGAGGCTGGCGCGATGGAGACTCTTAGCGACACTCCTTCCGATGCTAAGGCGGCTCCCAAGGACAAGGATGGCAACCCCATCAAGGAGGAGGAGACTGCGGCTGCCGACCCCGAAAAGGGCGTTGTCATGACCCCCGAGCAGCTGGTCCAGTCGCAGTCCGGCGTTCTGGTGTTCCAGGTCATCGAGGGCACGCTCGCGCGCAAGGGTGCTCTCGAGATCCTCTTCGACGACGGCTACTGGCCTGCTTACACGTCGGAGCGCGCTCGCAGTGCTCACCAGCGCTGGGACCAGGTCGGCGAGGGCTTCGTACGGGAGCTTGACTTCGGTCGCACCTGGCTTCGTATCAACGCTAACGACGATGACGAGAAGGAGGACATTGTCGCTGAGGTCCAAATGGAAACCCGCGAGTTCCTCGAGCAGGCCCTGAACAAGGAGGCGACATTCATTCTCTCGGACCCCAAGGGCAACGGTGGCCGCAGCTCTGTCAAAATGAGCGCTCGCTACGTCCCCGTCGACATCCAGCTCACTCCCCGCGAGAGCATGAACGACCAGGGCATGCTCTCAGTGACCCTCGTCGGCGGCAAGGGCCTCAAAGGCGTGGACCGCGGTGGCAAGTCGGACCCGAATGTCACCTTCCTCTTGAACGATGTCAAAGTCTTCAAGTCGGAGACGAAAAAGAAGACCCGTGACCCTCAGTGGAACGAGCAGTTTGAGACGGTTGTGCCATCACGTGTTCGGTCGCGGTTCATCGCGCAGGTCAATGATTGGGACCGTGTCGGGAGTGCCACACCAATGGGTGACGCTGTGATCGACCTTGCCGCCATGGAGCCCTTCCAGCCTTCCAACATTGACGTTCCGGTTATGCACAACGGCGAGAGCCATGGCACCCTTCAGCTCCAGATGGTCTTCCGCCCCATGATTATCGCGCGTCACAGGACCAACACCAACGCCTTCGGTAGCGCCGGTAGAGCCATCACCAGCATTGGTGGTGCGGCTCTTGGCGCACCCGTGGCCGTCGGCAAGGGCGTTGTAGGGGGCGTGGGCCGGGGTGTTGGCACTGTCGTCGGTGCGCCCGGCCGCCTCTTCGGCAGGAACAAGAACCGCTCCGCGTCCGTCACTCAGAACCAGCCACAGGAGATCTTGCGCGAGGTGGATGAGAACCCGTCCGTGAGCGGTTCGCATCTTGCTGTCCCGGGCTACGAGCTTGGCCAGGGCCAGTCTCCCCAGGCCAGCGCAGGTCAGGTCTCGGCTCCAGCGGGTACCAGCGGTGGTTCGCTGCCTGTCGGCCAGGAGGCTACCACCCTTCCTCCCGGTGCCGCCGAGGCCCCGCAGGAACCTGGCACTCTCACCGTCTCCGTTCTCAGCGTCAAGGATGTGCAGCCGCAGGGTTCGCACTCAGCATCGGCGCTGAAGCCTTACGTTGCAGTCCGTGTTGGACACAAGTCCCAAAAAACCGACCATATCAAGGGTACAGAGGGCGACTTTAATGAGACCTTCGGCTTCAACCTTGCGCCTGGCACGACTCAGCTGTCCCTCAGCGTTTACGGTGAGCCTATCCAATCACTTCATCCCCGCGCATCAGACGAGGCTGACGTACAGACAAGCACACCCTCGGCAAGGACACCGAGCTGGGCGAGGCGGTCGTTGACATCTGGCGGCACCTCCAGCCCGCCATCCCGACTGCTGACGTCTTCGTCGAGCTCACCCAGGGCTCGGGCCAAGTCAAGCTCCGCCTTGACTGGCAGGCCGGTACTCTTCAGCGAGGCATGTCGCGTATTCGTAGCCGCACCCCTAGTGTAAGCTCCAGGCAAGGCATCGTGCCCGAGACTCCGCGCTCGAGCAAGTTTGCGTTGACCCCCACCAAGAGCATTGCCAACGGTCAGAGTGCCCAGTAATCCGCGCCGCCGACGTGATTAATGGTGATACCCAGCTTAATTTACATACACGGGAAATCAGTTAGGTAGTGTTAACGCTCTTACGATGTGAAACGATGCAATTGTTGCGCTGCATGATTCGGTGATGTTGTACTTGGCTACAGAGGGTGGAGATCAATCTATTCATTACACATCAGTGACGCCCAGGCGGACAGTCGCCTTTTCACCATCGTTGAAACGCTTGACGAGCGTGAAGTCTGTGATACCTGGCGGATATCCCTCCACCTTGCCCGCAACCTCATATCCGTTGGCGATGTAGAATTCGGGAGCCTGGAAATCCCACGTCTGTACAATGGCGGCTACGCAGCCCCGGTCGCGCGCAAGTCGCTCCGCGTGCTGGAGCAAAGTTCGTCCTAAGCCGGCACCCCGCTCAGCCGGCAAAACAAAGAGGTAGGTGATATGTAGCCATCGAGCCCAGGTGTGCCCCACTAGCCCGCCGAGGAGGTCGTCAGCCCCAGCGAGAGGCGGCAGCGTGGGCTGGGCAGCAGCGCCGGGCGCATGCTGGCCGAGAAGTTCTGGCACGGTCGTGGGGTTAGAGGTTGGGGCGGCCGGAGGCTTGGGGGGCGCCTGAGTGGGGTCGATGAGACCACCTTTGGACGGAGCGTGCGCCGCAGTCTCGGCAAGCTGGAGGTTGCGCATATCCGGGGCTGTGTCGCTTTCCTCGCCACCCAGCGCCCATACATGCAGCGGAACTTCTTCGTCGTCTGCGCTGTCCCGCAGACGCGCGAGGGCGGGAGAAGCGGCGGTGTTACTTGCCCGCAGACGGGTATGGAGCGCCGTCCGGCGGTCATGATCGACCTGCGCGAGGATGCGCATAGTGGGCGAGCAGAAAGTCCGTCCGACGACTGATGGGCGGAGTGAGTTTGTAAGCTTGTTGAGAGGTGATATGCAATCTCAACAACAACTTTCCTTGGAGATGGGAATGAAGCTATGTGGTGCCGGCCTTCGTCCGCACGTCCGGCCCGCTGAAATCTCGTGACGCTGTTTCCGTTTCACTCACTCCACCATGTCCACAATTGTCGACGCCCGCCCGCGCGGCAACTACGTCCCCGTCGACTGTCCCGAGTGAGTATGTGTGCGCGTGCGTGCGCGTGCGGCATGCGGTGTCGACGTCGGTGGCTGAGACCGTTTCGCCACCCATCCGGCGGAGCGTGCTTCGCTTTGCTTGGAACCACCAGCTCACACCAGATGCGCGTCTCCGCAAGAGTACCAGGTCCCACCAACGTATATTGGCGGCTTGCGTGTGCGCTGCTCGGCGTGCAAGGCGCTGTTTGCGCACGATGCCGCGCGGCGCAGCGCGAACGCGTCGCCCAACCCCCCGCCTAAGCCCTCCACCAAGCGCCGCGGGATCGGCACCGACGCCAACCCTATCGACATGGCGTACTATGATGTCCTGGGGCTGGAGGCGACCGCAACGACCGAGCAGATCAAGAAGGCGTATCGCCGCCTCGCCATCAAGCTGCACCCGGACAAGGTGAGTTGCGGCGCCCAGACCGCCTTCCCGTACTTCGTGACTCTTCCTCACGCCCTTCCCCTTCACTTCCTTCCTGCCTGTCACCTGGCTCGTTGTTGCCACCTCCATCTGCTTTAATCATGCTGTTTCCGGCTTCGCGTGCGCACCTGCGCCGCTCTACCTGTTATCATCAACAGCCACTGACGCCAGAACCGCGATGACCCCGACGCCGAGGAGAAGTTCAAGCAGATCAGCGTTGCGTACCAGGTCCTGTCCGACCCAAAAACGCGCAAGCAGTACAACGAGTTTGGGCAAAAGAATGGCGGCGGCGGCGCCGAGGAGGCTCAGATCGACCCCGAGGAGGTCTTTGGCCAGATGTTCGGAGGCACCCGCTTCGAGGACCTTATCGGGACGATCAGCATTGGTGAGCGCAGCGGCGATGCACTAGCTAATGCCAGGCAAGGACATGAAGAATGTGTTCCAGCAGCAGCACGAGGAGGAGGAGGACGATGTCGTGATGGTTAATGGCAAGCCGCAGCTGAGCCCGCAGGCTCAGGCGAGGAGGGCAGAGCGAGAGCGCCAACAGAATGAGGAAAAGGCACGGGAGCGTGCCGAGCGCGTCGAGAAGCTCTCGGCCAACCTCGTGCGCAAGCTCAGCATCTTCACGGAGGCCGCCAAGGGGCCAGACGACCCGCAGGTTGGGCCGAGCTTCAAGGAGATCTGCCGCCTCGAAGCCGAGGACCTGAAGGAGGAAAGCTACGGCGTGGACCTGCTCCACTCGATCGGGCAAACGTACAAGACGCGATCGGCGCAGTACTTGGTGAGGAATAAGCCGTTTCTCATTGTTGCGCTGACCCCAGGCATCCGCTCAGTTCGCCCCATTGGGTTGGTTTCATGGCGCGAAGAACACGTTCAACGCCGTGTCCGAGGCGTGAGTTGGCATATCCCAACCAGTAAGCTTACTCCAGTGTGTCGACTGTACGCTCTGCACTCGAGCTCAAGAGCGTCTTCGAGAAGTTGCAGGCAGCAGAGCAGTCGGGGGTGTCGCCCGAGGAGCTGCGCAAGCTCGAAGAACAAGCAGCCGAGCAAGGCGTCCGCACGCTGTGGAAGGGCGCGAAGATGGAGGTTGAGAGCGTGATCCGCGAGACGTGCGACAAGGTTCTGGGGGATCCAAACGTGTCGCGCGAGAAGCGCGAGCTGCGTGCCGCCGCGCTGGGGCTGATGGGTGATGTAAGTCTCCTCTGCTGACGTTTGACTTGCGTTTCCACAGACTCAATTTCGGACTCCTGCTGACCCAAGGCATTCCTTAGTGTCCGCGCTGGCGAGTCGGGGCCATCGGACGAGTTCGTTCGCATTGAGACCGCTGCAAGCAAGCAGCGTGACGCCGCACGTGCAGGTGAGAAGCCCGAGGTGCCGCCGCGCCCATACACTGCGCGCCAGCCGCGCGGCGGAGCACGTGCTCAGCACCCACCGCCCGTGCCCGAGCGGCCTTGACACCTAGGAGTGGGTCATCTGAGCGATGCGCTGACGCCAGCTAAAGGCCAGTAGACTGTCGTCGCCTTGTCTCGATGACGCGTACATGTAGAGGAGCTCATAGTCATACATATGATTTTGGCACCACATTAGCCTACATCCTCCATCACCAGTCGCGTATGTTGGCTCTATTCGTTCTCGATCGGCTCCTCGAGAAGGTCAATGGAGAGGTAAAACCCCTCCCACCCATCGTCATCTGGTTGTGCGTCGGCCCACTCCGCCGCGGCGCGGACCAAGCGTGCTGCTCGTGCGGCCTCGTCCTCCTCGTCGTGCTCAGCCGCCCCGGCGGCGCCGAGGGCAGGCTCGGGGCGCCGAGGAAAGTCGTCCGCGGGAGAGAGAACGTCAATGACCTCGTCCTCTGCTTCGTTCATCTTGCGCGCCGCGTCATCTTCGTCTTCCTGCGCGTTAGTGGCTGCAGACGATGTGAGGATGACTGCAGAGATCGGACCAACTGCCTCTAGAAGGCACTCATTTCCGCCTTGCCGCACTTACAATGTCAAACTCGTCTTCTCGCTCGTCGTACTCGACATTCTCCTCCAGTTCCTCGAAGCCTGGCGCAAAAGCCGCCCAGTTGTCTGGCGAGGAAGTCTGCCAAATATGCACGTCGCCAGAGTTTTCGACTGTGGCAATGATTGGTCGCGTGGGGTGCCACTGCAATCAGCTCGCTGTAACCATCTGCGCTGCTCAGCAACTCACATCCGCATCCATCAAGCTCTCCTTCGGCCCCTCTAACACCTTGACGAGTGCGCCGGCTTCGCGGTCCCACACAAATACGTTGTGGCTCATCTTGTGCCCCGCCCCGCCGAAAACGTACTCGCCATCACCCGAGAAGCCGACGGCGTGCCAGGGGGTACGATTCACGAGGTCTTGGAAGCGGTGAATGGGGGCGAGAGCGCCTGTCTGCGGAGAGACCGTCAGAACACGGAGAGCGCGATCAGTCGAGTTCAGAATGAGATTGCGGCCTGCTCCATCGAACGCCAGCTGCTTGATCCCGCTCGTGCCGACCTTGATGCGACTCTGTACGAGGCGGGACACCGGATCGATGACGAGCACCATGCCCCCATTCGTGCCCGCGTATATCCTGGAGCCGCATGGCGACCACGCCGCACATGTGAGTGCTTGCCTGATGTTAGCTGGATCTCACACAGACCTACCTCTTCTTCGCCGGCTCGCCTTCCTCTTCACCATCCCCCTCGCCCTCCATCACGTCTTCCAGCACCCAGCGCTGGCCCCCTTCACTGGGTGCTTGTCCCCGCAAATCAACGAGCACCACCTCGTTACATGCAAGGGTCAGGAGAATGATACCGGCATTGCGCGGGTGGAACGCGCCAGTGGACAGCGGAGCATCGAACCGTAATGTCCTTTTGCGCGGCCAGGTCGCGCCCACTCGCTGCCGGAGAAGAGGCGAGAGCGGGGCGAGATCCCAGATAATAGCCGTGCCGTCCAAAGACGTGGAGAGAAGGAAGCGGTTGTTGCGCGACCAGCTGGTGTGAGCAAGGGGAAGATGCGCGCACTCGGCCAAGAGACAAACCTCAGCCCTCCTACGGCCTTGACATGCCCCTCAAGCTGGCGCACGATTCCGCGCGTCTCCACATCCCAAACCTCCACTAGGCCATCGCTGCCCCCCGCCGCAAGGTAGTGCCCAGCATATGGGCCGGAGGGGTTGAAGCGTACCGACGTCGCTTGGGAGGAGAGGGTGCAGTCGACTGCCTCGGGGTACTTTTGTGCGAACGGATCTGGCGTCAGTGCTGATCGGAGGCAGCGCAACGATGAGGTTGAGCTCAGGCAAACGAAGGATAGCGCTATCCCATGTTCGCCTGGGGAGAATGCACGTACTCAGTAGCTGCTGCATCGCACAGCACGGTGGTGAAGGAGGATGTTTTGATGTTGAGGGTCGTGGAGTGGAGGTCGGATATCGGGCCGTTCCTCAATCTTCGCACAACCTCAACAACACTCATTCTCCCATCACCGGCACCACGTAACCTCACTCCGTCTCTCAACATGCAAGGACAGCAGAAACTCGTCCCTTTTGTCCCCCCAGCGCCTGTGGGCATTCCTATTGCTGCAGTGCAGAGCCTCGTGCCCCAACTTGCCACCACTATCAACGATATCGACACACTCAAGACCCAGCTCAGTGCGGGGAATGTGAACGCGACGTTTCCCAGCTGGTAAGTCGTCATGAGATGCTGATATGGCGAGGTTAGCACGGTTAGGTTCAGATCTACTGCCCAGCAGTCCGCTCTCGCCTTCGCAGCCCGCAGCTGCGCAGCTGTCAGCTCTTAACAGCCCTCGCACGCGCATCGCTCTCCCTCCTTCCTCACCTTCTCCGCACATCCACTGATGGCTCCGTTTCCCTCTTGGTAGCGAGAAGCTGACCCCAGGGATACCCTTCTGCAGCGCTACACCCTCCTCCTCTCCCGTGTCCAGTCTTTGAGCAAGTTCATCTCCACCCCGCCACCCAAAGGGACAGAACCCGCTCTCGCGCACTACCTCGTACACCCGCTGCGCCCCCTCGCTCCCGATGCCGACCAGTTGGCACAAGACGTACTATTTCAGGCGATAAACACCCAGACGCTACCCATGCCGGAATCAGAGAGCGTGCCAGGAGCCCGCGGGATGTTGGGTCTGGACACCCTGCGCGGACTTGACGAGGGCGCATTGCAACGCCACACCGATCGCCTTAAGGCTCGGCTGGGGCGAGAGAGCCAGCGCGCGCGCGGGATGATGCGCGAGATTGAACGACGCGGGGAGGAGTACGACTGGACGTATCGCCCGGGAGAAGAAGAGGAAGAGGAGAAGGAGGAAGAAGAGGAGGAGGAAGACCTCTTTGGAGATGACGAGGAGGAAGAAGAGCAGAAGGCGGAGCCACTAGCACCAAACCCCCGCGAAGGGTGGGGTGTTGCGGACTACTTGGTTTTTCTTGAGACCGGGAAGGCCAAGGCGCCCGAGGCGGCACCCGCAGAGGGAGCATCAGCGGCGCCGGTCTCCGCTCCTGGAGCGACGGCGGCGCAGGCGACTGCATTGGCGACGGCGTCTGCGTAGATACTGATGCAGACTTGTATTTGTCGCGTGCAACAAAAGTTGCCGGCATTGACATTGATGGGAGTAGAAGCCGGGTCACCAGCGGTCGCGACACTCTCCGCCAAGTCTGGGAAACCAGGCGCCTCACGGCTAAGATCGGTTCAGCCAGCACCCCTTTTCTCGGGCAAACACAGCAACTACCTGTACGCCCTCTATGTAAGTGTCCCAGTCCGCTCTTCTACGAGACTTGCGTCAATGAGAAGGAGTGAGTATACGTCGACTTAGTGGTTGTTCCTTGCCTGCCACCACTCCAACGCAGACCTCTTTTGAGGGGACGTTCGGTACTGAACCAAAATTCTCACGCCCTGTCGCTCCTCACAGATCAGATCTGAGCGGTCTTCAATATCTGGAATATCGTCGAGAACCACATGACCAGCCTACCTTGCGGTGCAGATCGAGTGTCGCACTTCCGGCGAAAGGGTATGTGGGCGCATCTGATCAGTTGGCAGATCCTCTGATGGATACAAGTCACCGCCCATCGCTGTGAGGCCTCAGATCAACTGATCCAAACACATGGCCGATTCTCAGCGCGACAACTGATCGAAGGCGCCCCGAAATCGGGCCCAGCTCCTCTTGGCCAGCATCGAATACCGATAGAACATCTTGGCTCGCATCATCACATCCGCGTCGCACTCTTCCCCACCGGCAATGGGCACCCGTGAGCGGTACGCGATGGACCACTCATGCTCACCCCGATCTTGAAGCACTCAGCGTCGTTGCACTCCCATGCCGCAAGCACAGCTCAAACCGCCCGAGCAAAGTACCCATGTCACAACGCAACCGACTGCGCTGCCGCCTCATGCCACCGCACCGGAGATGACGATCACGTCCTGACGCCCATTCGCCGACAAGCGGTGGCTCCAACTTCTTATGCCTGGCCTCTGTCTAGGCCAGTGCTATATAACCCGTCCTGACCGCTGTCGAGTTCAGCATCCCGCCTCTCCTTTCCTCTCCTTTCCTTTCCTTTCCCTGCTCCGCCTTTCCCTTCTTCTCCTTCGTCTGTCTTCTTTTCCTTTGCCTCTTGACTCGAAAACAATGAAGTTCACCGCCCTTGCCCTCCTCGTCGTGGGCGCGGTGTCGGCTGCTCCTGCCCCGCAAGGCGCTAGCACCTTCAACCCCGCTCCAGCTGCTCTTGGTACCGACTGGACCGACATGACCGGCTGCACGTGTCTCGGCTGGCCTTGGGCACAGGTGAGTTGTGCTCGCACCACATCTTGTTAAAGGTGTCCTGCCGGAGTCTACCATGTCTCAGCGCTTGCTGACATCTTTAGAATCAGCAAATCTTCTTCTCCCAGGCAAATGGCAAGCAGCTGGGCTGGTGCTGGAAGGATGGCCAAATGATTCAGCGCGACCGCAACCTCATCCGCACTGCCGTCACGGAGAACCGGCGCACCAGCGATGCCAACGGTCTGCAGGCTAACAATTGGTGCCGCGCCCGCAACATCCCCCACGCCTCCTCGGAGTGCGCCACACGTGTCATCCGGGAGTTCTCTCGCACTGTGAGTGACTGACTATCGCCTCGCTGACAGTGACAGCAAGGCCCTGGTCTTCTCTCCCTTTGCCAGTACCCCGCCCCTGGCACTTTTACCCCGACTTCGTGCGGCTGCGCGTACAACTGCAACCCGGGCTACGTCCGCTGCGGCCGCTGGTGCGTTCGGACCGGCACGCAGTGCAATGGCGGCGTTCCTATCGAGTTTGCCTGCGGTCCCGGCTTCTGGAGCTGCAACCGCACCTGCATCCGGCTCAACCAGCCCTGCATTCCCAGCCCTAACCAGCCTCGTAACATGCTCGCCTCGGTCTTCGACGAGCGCGACGTTGCGGATCTGGAGGACCGTGATGTCGACGAGCTAGACGAGCGCGACATTGAGGACCTCGAAAACCGCTCTGAGCCCGCCTTTGACCTTGATGCCCGTGACGCCGACGCCGAGGCTGAGGCCGACAACCACAACCGGTGCCGCCCCGGGTGGGTCTGGTGCTCGTGGTGGAACCGGTGCTACCAGCGCTTCTGCCCCAAGCGCCCCGTTTGCAAGAAGGGCTGGCACTGGTGCCGCGGCCGCTGCATCTCGATCAAGTTCAAGTGCCCTCGCGCCGAGGTCGACGAGCTTGATATCCGCGATGCTGAGCCCGAGCTCAACGCGATGTTCGATGAGCGCGACGAGACCTTCGATGAGCGCGACGAGACCTTCGACGAGCGCGACGGCGAGCCTGACATTGACGAGCGCGACTTCGAGGACGCCCTTGACGAGCGTGACTTCGAGGACGTCGAGTCTCGCGACTTCGACGAGCGCGACGCCCAGGATGCGGCTGGCTCCCCCTACCGGCCGGAGCCCCTTCCTCCCTACCCCGTTCCTCCGCCTCACACTCCCGTGCCCCCTCCCCCGCCTCACACTCCGGCGCCCCCTCCTCCCCCGCCCCACACCCACAACCCTATCCCCCTCCCTACTCCCAAGCCTCCCCAGCCCATTCCCCCTATCCCGCTCCCCACTCCCCAGCCGTGGTGCCGCCCCGGCTGGACTTGGTGCCGCGAGTGGGGTCGCTGCTTCCGTGGCCGCTTCTGCCCTCGCCGTTGCCGCATTGGATGGCAGTGGTGCCGCGGACGCTGCGTGCCTCACTGGTTCACCTGCAAGCGTGAGGAAGTCAAGCGTGAGGAAGTTAAGCGTGAGGAAGTCAAGCGTGAGGAGGTCTAGGCCACCGCCGGACACCAGCGCCTAGCTGCGCCAGCTTGCTGGATGGACAGTGCAAACCTAGCAATAGCGCAAAGTGATGCGATGATGATGACGGTGACCGTGTGGCAGGGTGGACGCTCGCGTTGGGGAACTGATCTCACTCTCATCCCCCTTGCTCCAATCTTCATGTTTCCTAACAGATGTCAACGATACAACGGTAAACGCCCACGCCCTACACCAAGTCGAACTTGAAGTCATCGCCTCCGAACGCGCAAGGGGGTGATGGCGGCTCATCGAGCGGAGGTAGCGAGGTGAAGTCAAATCCTTCGGGCTCCTCAAATGTGGTGCTGGGAAACACGCTGCGCACCATCGCGTCTCCCTTTGCACTGCGCTTTGGTGAAGGCTCGTAACCGCGGTCTGGCGTGAGCTATGGGACATTGTCGCGTTGCAGAGGATCTCCCTTTCTCACCCCGTCCACTCTGCGGACTCTCCCCTGCAATATGACTCCCCACTTCCACGATTACTCACCAACTGCGCTCCGCCCTGCCGAGAGTTCGTCCGCCCTCACGCTGATGCTGCGTTGCACGCGCGGCCGCTTGGGTGGCGGGTCTGGCACAACAATCGGCCGCCGCTTGTTAAGAAGTGCTGCGCGCACAGCGCCCGCGCGCCCCACTTGCTCCGTCGGCGTCTTTGGTGCGACCTGGCGCGGCGGGGTGTGGGGTGAGCCAGGCCGCCGCTGAGGCATGGCGCGCAGCTCGCGTGTTGAGCTTGTCGGCGCCTTGAGGCGCGGGAGACGCGCGACGTTGGGACGGGTGGAGCTGGAGTCGCTGCTGGAGGCCTTGCCTTCCGTCTTGGGAGCTTGCGGGACGTTGTCGAGCGGGGCGAGCGCACTGCGCTGGCGCAGAGGCTTGCTGGGCTTCTGGGTCGGTGGGGCCGAGACGGAGCCCTGCGCGTTCTCGCTTAGTGGGCGGCGCCGTGCTGATGTCGTGCTCGCGGAGAGCTTCGAGGGCTTGGCCTTTGACCGAGCGCGGTCATCGGGCAGCGCATTCTCGTTTTGTACTCGCGTCCTGGGAAGCATGATGTGGTGTGAATGCATTTCGTCTGGGCGATGGCTTGTTTGTGCCGTCAGAAGTCAGTCACGTTACTTGAACCCTGAGTTAACCTCCCTTAATGCTCCACTTACAATGTCCTTCTAACAGTCGTCTTATTCGAGAGGTGTCTCGCAACCTAGCAATAAAAGCTCCTGCACAAATAATCCGAACCATGCATACAATCCACTAACAATGAAGCACTCTCCCTCAGTACTCTGGCTCCTGCCAGATACGCGCGAGATCGACCTCCTCGATCAAGAGCGGCACGACGTCGACCGACTCCTGCTCGAGCAGCCACACATCGTCGTTCTTGTATTGCGTCCGCCGCTGCGTGCCGCGGTGGTCGCCCGAGACTGCAATGACACTTTGCCCCGACCCGTCCGGGCGCACCGGCACGAGATACTCGGCAGGGATGTCGACCTGCTTGCCTTCCTCGGCGCCGCTGACGACAACACAGCGCGCATCGTCGCCCACCGTGTCCTCGATGCCGAGCGTCGCGTCGTCGTATGCGCCGCGCTGGAAGTGACGGGGGTTGCGGGTCCCGGGACGCTGCGAGGGCCCGACGTGCACGAGCACGTTGCGGAAGTCGAGCGCCCAGTCCCAGTTCCTTCCCGAGGTCGCCTCTGCCATGTTTCCACCTCCGCTTACGAACGGCGTCGGCGCGCCAAATGGTGTCGGCCCGCCCATGCCGCCGGGCGTAGGCGCCGAGAGGCCGTACCCTGGTGTTGGGGCCGACAGTGCTGCACCGGGCGTGGGGGCTGACAGCGCAGCACCTGGGGTGGGCGCGGAGTACATACCCGGCGTGGGTGCGCTGAAAACGGGCGCGGGGGTTGGTGCCGAGAGAGCGGCCCCAGGAGTGGGGGCCGAGTACGAGGACGGTCCAGACCAAGGGGTCGGCGCGGACATCGGCTTGGATGTGCCTGGATCGTTGTAGACACCTGGGGTTGGCGCCGAAGAGTAAGGGCCAGGAGTCTTCCCGCCGCTGGCGCCGGCCCAACCAGGAGTGCGGCCGCCGTCACCGTAGCTGGGAGCGGGCGTGCGTCCCCCAGCCCCGTACCCGGGAGCAGGGGTGCGCCCACCGGCCCCAGCACCTCCCCAAGCGGGCGTCTTGCCGCCGCCGCCTGCCCATCCTGGGGTCTTGCCACCTGCTCCACCGAAGCCGGGCGCAGGCGTCTTGCCGCCCGCACCCCACGAAGCACCGGGAGTCTTGCCTCCCGCGGCGTACGGGTTGGGCGTCTTACCCATGCCCATAGCATACGGGTTGGGCGTTTTACCGAATTGTCCACCCGGCGCGGGGGTGCGGCCGCCGTTCATCGCTCCACCGCCGTATGGTCCAACATCATAGCCGCCGCTGCCACCGCCGCCGCCACCGTAGCCCCCACCCCCACCGTAGCCGCCAGTGCCAGTATCCAAAGGGTATGTCACACCTGTCTTTGGGTCCTTGCGCTTCAGCCAGGTCGTCAGCACCGTGATTGTCTTGTTGTTCGTCTGCAGCTCGACACGGGCCTTATCGGCCCCAACCACGTCCTTGATTGTGCCCAGGAGACCCTTTGAGGAGCCGCGCGTGACGACGACAGGTGTGTTGATGATCCGGCGATTGCCGACGGTCGGAGGAGGGGGCATGAGGCTCGCCCCGCCAAGAGGAAGCTGTGCATTCAAGGCGGGGTTCATCTTCGTCAGATCGGCGGAGACCGACTTGGGCGTCACAGAAACGAGCGCTTGAGCACGCGCAACGAAAACGCCATTGTTCTCTGGGTATTCGCGGTTGTGGAGGAATACGAAGAGCGAGCGCGAGATGTTGATAACCTCGCCGCGGCGGTTCTCGCCATCGACCTCCTTCATCGCGTCACCAACCTTCATCTCGTTGCCGGTCGAGTCTGTTGCGACCGCAAAGCGCGCATTGTCGCGGCGCAGCGTCACCTCGTTGGTGCCCACCAAGCGCCCCAGGCCGTTCTGGTCGACGATTCGAAGATTCTTGCCCTCAATTTTCGTAACGACAGCGGCGGTAGTGGAGTCGAGCATGACTAGATCATGCACCTCGAAGCGGCTAAGGGTCGCCGTCGCAGTCGAGCTTACATCCGCGGCCTTGCGCACGTCCTTGGAGAAGACACGAATTTCCTCGCGGTTTTGGTCGGCGAGAATTGTCACGACATCGCCCTTCACGTCCACAATCATACCCGACACGTCGGCGTTCTTGCCGGACATGATCTTGACATGTTCACCGACATCGAACTTCTTGCGCACACTTGAAGCGGGTACCTCGACGACCTGGTTGTGGATGGCGCCGCCGATTGCGCGGATGGAGATGGTATCGCCGGCAATGGTCTCAACAGTACCATACATGCCGGCGAGTTCGCCCTCGTGCACCTCCACCTGGTCACCAGGGGAGAGAACGCCAGCGGATATATTGCGGTTCGCATCGGCGATGGTGGACAGGTCGAGCTTGCCGGTCCCCGAGTCGTCGCCGGCAAACTTGGAGACCTCCTCGAGCGTAGGCTGAACGCCCTCGGTGGTCAGCAGGGGAATCTTGATGTCCTTGACACAAAATCCGTCGATGTACTCTTCGCCGTCGAAGATGTAGGAGCCGCCGCTCGAGCGGACGTTGCCGCGGCCGTACACTCGCTTGACGTCGTCATAATTGAATAGACGTTGAGGGGGGCGCACCGCGCCGCCAAGACCTTTCGCGTTGCGGTCACGACCCTCCCTGGGGGTCAAGTCGATGCGAGGGATGAACTTGATGCCAACGATACCGCTCGTGATCTGATCGACGTCGATAACCTGCGCTAGGTCTCCGGTGTACTTCGCACGCTTCAGGCGCACCCACATCCCTGGCTGGAGGTTAATCTCCTTCTTCTTGATGCGAAGAAGTGGCGCCATCTCCTCGATCGGGATAAGCTGAATGCCACGCGTGAGGTACACGCCCACAATGCCGTTCACAGCATCATGCACAGCTGACGAGGTGCGCGCTTCCAGGAATAGCAGGCCTGGGAGTGAATCGCGGTAGAAGGCGGACGACACGCCGATATCGCTGCCCTTCTGCTTGTGTTCAAACACCTTGCGGAAGATGGAGACGGTGATGTTACGCTCGCGACCAGCCTTGACACGGATCTGCCAAAGGCTAGGGTCGTCAACGCCAGGCATGAGAAGACGCTGTGGCACCTGGTCACTGTCGGCATTGTAGCGTGCCTGTCGGCGGTGGCGCTCCTTCAGCGCAGCAACCATCTCCTCAACATTCTCCTCCTCCTCGCGGTGGAGGTTGCGGTTGAGAGTGCGATGGTGGATGTCGTCCGTGGCGCCGACGTCTGCTCCCTCCTCAATGAACTCGCGGACATCCCCATAGTCGTCGTCCTCGTCCTCTTCCTCTTCATCGTCGTCAACTACAGCCTCGACATCGAGGAAGCGGTTCGCTGCCTTGCGTTTACGGTGCTGGTGTTAGCGCAATTTCCGGAATGACAAACCTTCTTGCGAGGCGCCGCCTCCTCGTCGTCCTCATCCTCGTCATCATCTTCGTCGTCCTCCTCGTCCTCCTCGTCTTCATCGTCATCGCCACCCTCATCTCCGCCCTGGTGCGTGGGGACAGGCTCCATGTCATCCTTGGGGTCAGCTAAATCCCACCAACATGGCTTGTAGGCTCACTTCGTCTTCCTCTGTAAAGACACCGCGTCAGTACGTGCTCGTCGTCTGTTTCGTCACTACTCACCATCCGGGTCTGCAATGCGCGCCTGCCAGTCAGCTCCACTCAGGTGGGTGCCCATTGTTCGGGCAGAGGTGACTCACGCGCTTCTTGGGGCGCTGCACCTCAACTTCGTCGTCCGATCCCACATCCGAGTTGTAGCGCTCGTCGTCGTCCGACATGATGAGGGCGTTTTAGGATGCTTGAGAGAGAGAGTGAATGCAAGATGAGAGATTGACGCAGCCGCAAACATCTAGTTGGGCGGCAATGAATGGGACATCTACTATCGGGGGGCATGCCTAAGTTGCGGAGATCCAAACAATTCCGTTTCACCACGCCTAACTCCACCATCGTGGCGGTCATGATGCATACAAGCTCGCCACAGGGAGGTCGAGGACACGCAGCATCTCCATCATTACTCGCAGGTATCATACATTGAAATTTCACCTTACTTCTATACTGCGTGCAGCGCCTCATCCAGCTTCCGCTTGATCTCGCGCCTGTCTACGTCCGTCCGCCTTGCAATGGACCCGCAAGGTCCGGGTCTTCGTCGGCTGACATTCTTCTGCCGCGACCGTTCAAGATGTGCGAGGACGACTAGCTAGGTGCTGGTGTGTTGGGCGTGTCCGGGAACGGGAAGAGGCAGAACACGCATACGACACGACCGTCCTTGTTTACCCAAGGGCGGCATTGGCCTGATATAAGCAAAGCTCGTGGGTGGAGCAAGTTGGAAGCGGTGACTTACGGCCACGGTTGAACGTGTTGGCGTCGCCGCCGCAGCCGATCATCGACATGGCTTGTTCGCTGAGGGAGAGTAGGGCGATAGAGGGGTAGGCTTGTCTAAACGTCAGCTAACTGCGAACTAATGTACTCACAAGTCGACCGTTGGTGGAGGTAGGGCTCTGAGTGAGAGGGGGCAGGCTCTGTGGGTGGTGTGCTAGCTGCCGCTCCGAGCATACGATGTCGGTTTATATCCTCTCGAGACGTAGGGGCAACGGCTGCTTCAATGATCTCGGAGCGGCTCGTATCGTCCGCGCCTTCGCATCGTAGCTGGTACTAATGGATCACTGCGGATCCCAAAGGTAGCCGGACCGGCTCCCGTGTCACGTCTACTTCACAACATCGCTTCTGGTGTCTACACATCGCCCGGTTTCCTTTCACTGACAGAACATGACCTCAAGGCGCGACAGTGCGAGTGTTTGGGGGTTGAGAGCCACTCCCCTCACTGGGGCGCCAGAAACTCCAGCCGGGCGCTGCCCCCGCATCAAGCAATAACAATACATCTCTAGTTTACAACCGACAGCGCATCAATCTTCTCCGAAGCCGAAGCCCGGCGCTTCCGTCGCCGTTCACCCATCTCCTCAGCTTCCGCTCCATCACGCTCGGTTCCGCCCGCACAGCGAGTTTCGCCGTTTCACTTCCCCTCTTGCCGTCTTGCGCCTACGTCCGCCAGACGAGGAAGTATCCCGGCGTGGTGATCTGGCTCCACCGCGCCAGCTCGACGACCCGCTGCCCCTTCTCGTGATACCGCTGAACTTCGTATACGCGGTTCATGCTCCCCACCTGCTCAACGACGGGCATGCACGCCGCGACGTCTGCGAGCTGCTCCCTGCTGGGTCGCGCGCTCTCGGGAGCATTGGCATGGAAGATGCGTAGCCGGCTATGCTCGAACCCGCTACACTTTAGGGCAGAGGGGGAGGCGAGGCACACGTATAGTTCTTCGAGCAGGGGTGCTGCGGCGAGGATGGCGCGCAGCTCTTCCGCATCGATCAGGAGGTCGAGAAGAGCGAGGCGAGTGAGCGAGGCGAAGTCGACTCGGGATTGCAGAGCGAGCAGGGCAGAGCGCGAGAGCACACGCTGTCGTCGTTCGCCGACTGCGGCGGCTGTCAAGTTCAGTTCTAGTGCGCGCAGGGGCATGCGGCGGAAGAGGGGCATGTCTTCCGCCACTAGCTCCGCTTGCTTCGGCGGGGCGGGGAATGAGAGGCTGAACGTCGAGAGCGACGGCAGTGGAGGTGCTTCTGTGAGGTCCACCAGATCCTGGGGTCAGCACTGATCCACATAAGAAATCACGGAATGGGGAGCGGCGTCGAGCACGAGCTCCTCCAGCCCCCTCGCCTCTTCGAGGACGGCATACACGCCTGCCCGCGTCACCTTAGTATGCCCCACGAGCTGCAAGCGTTTCAGCTGCCCAAGGTATGGCGCGAGTTCGTGCAGAAGCGCGTCGTTGATGAAGTTGAAACTTCGGCAGATGAGAGCGAGGCCCCACAGCCCGCCGTTGGTCCTTCTGTCCAGCTCCTTCGCGATAGCTGGGAGGACTGAGCGGAACGTCGGATCTGGCATCATGATCCGAAGATGCCGCAGGGCAGGCATGTGGCCGAGCAAGGAGGGGTCGAAGAGTCGCGTGCTGTGTCCAGAAATCTCTAGATGCTCCAAACAGGGTAGACGGGTTATTACTTCAAAGAGGTCCGTGGAAAGTGAGCGGTCGCGCTGGCGATCAGCAAGTGCGGCGAGCTGCCTGCAAAAGCTATCTCACCGTCCACACCAGTCGTGAGAGGTTGCGCATACGCCTCAGCGCTTCCAGGATCATGTTTCCGAGCAAGGAGCGGGACTCGCCCTGCAAGTCTAGTGGGAAGAATCGGATGTCTGCGTAAGCTCTCCTCGGCTCTTGTCTCACCAAGCGACGCGACACTCTCACAGAGCTCGGGATGCTCGCTCAGCGTCTCAAAGAGGCGGAGAAGCTGGTGTCAGCTCCGTACTGGATCCCCGTTAAGTCCGCCATTCCCAGAACGTAAGCCAACTCACCTTGCGCTTCGGAGCATCTTCCCATGGCCGCACCCAGATATCCCGATACAGCCTCCGGCGACAGACCCGCGCCCACTCTCGGCACACCCGCGCGCCCACCGCCAGATCGCGGGGATGCGAGAGGTGGGCGAGCACCTCGGGCACCAGGTCGGGGTAGGTAAAGAGACCAGCGAGGGGGGATATCTCGTGTGCGTCAGGCAGAGGGAGCGTGAGGTGGGCTGCGCTGGGCGGCGGCGATGGCGGGTGGAGGGGCGCCGACGGCCCGCGCTGGTGCCAGTGCGCGGCGCGCTCGAAGATCCTGTCGAGGCCCAGAGGACGGGGCTGGGCATGATACTCCGGCAGCGCGTCCGAGTAGGATCTGTGCTCGTCATCCATCGCAATGGCTGGGCTCAATGGGGCAAAGAGTGGCGAGAAATCGGCGTGAAGCTCGAGTCCGGACCGGTGCACCTCCACCGGCAGGGGCCACGTGGAAATACTCCCGCCACGACCAAAAGATCCGAACTCCTCCTGCTCGCTGTTCACGAAATCGAGCTCGCCATCGCAAAGTCATCTACGACACTATGCTCGGCCCCCTCCTTACGCGCGCTTCCGCGCTGGCGCGCACGGCACTCGGCGCCGACCTCCGCCAGGAGCTGTTCGCGGGTCCTTCTGGTGCGTGTGGGCGCTGCCCCTCCGTTTCCGAAGTTGGAGGGACAAGAGATGGAGAATCCGGGGCGCGCTGACGGCAGGTCTCCAGACGCAGATCCGTACGGCCACGAAGCGCGGCGGTGGTTCGTCGCGTAACGGTCGTGACTCGAGCGGCAAGCGGTTGGGTGTCAAGAAGTTTACGAGTGAGTGACAGGAGCGGAAGGCAAGTGGAGGGAGTAAATGCGCCGTGGCACCGGGAGAAGGGCTTTTTGCGCAGGAAGAGAGCTTTTCCGTCACGAAGAGGACCTCGAGCTCGGTCTCAGCTGCTTTCTCAGCAGCGCCGAGCAGAAACGGGACTTCGCGCCGAGCAGAGACAGTCTCTGCACCTTCCTTCCCGAGCCACCCTCCCTCCTCATTCAACCGACAGCCGACTAACCCCAGACGAGTACGTCCTCCCCGGCCAGATCCTCGTCCGCCAGCGCGGACAGGGCATCAGGCCCGGCCAGCACGTGGGCATCGGCAAGGACCACACCCTGTACGCCCTCGAGCCGGGGTACATCAAGTTCTACACGTCGAGTCTGCCGTACCCGCACCGCGCGGCGGATCCGGTCGCGCAGGCGGCCAAGGACGCGGCGCGCCCCAAGGTCAACAAGCCGCGCGGCGTCAAGCAGTTCATCGGGATCGTGCGCGCCAAGGAGGAGGCGCTGCCGCGCGACGAGCGGGCGTTGGGCCGCGACAGGCGGTTCTGGGGGTGGCCGAAGGAGGTGAAGGGCGAGGCGGAGCCCATGCTCTAGCCTGTATATACAACTCATGCACTACACTGGATCACTTGGGGTTGCTGTTTCTGCATGTCGTCTGCAGATGGTCTTCCGGTCAACTTCTGTCTTGTGAGCAAAGGCATCGGCTCCGAGCTGAGCTGCCGTCTCGTCAACCCCCCACGCTTCCGTCATACTAATCTCGATGCATCTATGAAAGCCGTGTACGCGCCAGGCGCTGTCTAATCTGGCCGGGCTAGTAGCCGCGGAGGTTGCGGTGGTGCTTTATCTTGACCGCATCGGGCTGCGACGACTGCGGCGCCTGGTCTTCCCAAATAGGGTCGACGTCGGGGCCGTCGAGGTCACCTGCTCCGTCCCATCCCCAGCACCAGACTGATGTCAGCATGATTCGAAGTCATAGCGGGAGCGCCACTCAACGCCGCCCTTGAGCCCCTGTCGGCTCGCTGAACATGCACTTGCGCCGCACTCTACTCACCTGACTTCGGGCCCGGCTTGAAGTCCAATTCGAGGTCCTCCTCCGGCGTGAACAGCCGGTCGTGCGGGCCGTACCAGCTGCGGTCCTGGGGGTCGGAGCGCGGGTCGTCCGGCATGCCCCCGAGACGCTTGTACCCGCGGATAGCTGTGAGGTTTCGGCGCTCGGGGTGGATGATGTCGTACACCTTCTTGTCGTACGCAAGCTTGACGCGGGGCACCATGATGATGCGTCCGTACCCCATAGCCCAGTAGTCGTTGCAGATGAGCGAGCACTCGGACGCCGAGCACTCGTTCTCCGTGAGCTTGGCCATGCGGAACTTGACGGGGAACGTCTCGTAGAACGGGGCGGGGTCCAGCACAGCGACACCGTTCCAGCAGCTCTGGACTTGCAGGGGCAGATGGCGCTGGAAGCGTTGGCTGCTCTCGGCGTGGTGGAACACCTGTTCAAAGGGGGCATTCTCAAGCGCCGTGCCGTTCAGGTCGCGCGCGACCCAGTTGTCGTAGAAGACCGGCGAGCCGATGTCGTCGTGGTACATGTAGTCTGCGGCGCAGGTAATGCCAGCGTTCTGGCGGCGGCTCTGCCAGATGAGCTCGAGCAGGTCGTCGACGCAGGGTAGAATGTCGTTCATGAATACAATCGAGTCGTAGTAGTCGCCCTGGTCGCGCAGCTCGTGCAGCGGCACCATGGCTGAGTTACGCACTTCGGCGAGATACTCGATACGGTGGTTGAACTGACCACGAGTACGTGCCGACGAGCGGATGATAACGCGCATCCCGACGGAACGGCACAGGGCGTCAAACAGCCGGAGGAGCGCCTTGGTCTGGTCCTTGGATCCGTTCTCGTAGATTGACACCATGACGTTGTGGTAGCCCAAGATACTGGCCGTCTTGAACAGCGTGCTGAACAGGTCTGGGATAACGTCGAACGATTCGTACAGGTTGATAGCGAAGAAGTACTTGTGGTTGTCGGGGCCTTGGAGAGACATGAGATTGCGCGTCAGGACGTCGCGCCGGCTGAAGCGCGTGTCCGCGAGGTGCAACTGCTCGCGGTCTCTACTGGACGCTCCGCCGCCGAAGAGCCCGGAAAGGCCACCCGAGGAGCGCCAGCCAGTCTTGTGACCGATCAGCGGCTCGTATCGCTCCTTGGCCTGGTCGACGTAGAGTTTCTGAGGGTTGCGCGTGCACTCGCGGGTGTGCTTCGCTGAAATGGTGCCCAACAACTTGAGAATGCGGAGACGCTGGTCCATGTTCGGCAGCGATGTGATCTTGCCGACGCGGTTGCCAGTCATGGCGTTGGGGTATAGCCCACCGCCGCTACCCTGCCATGGTGGTGGTGCAGGCTTTAAGAGAAACGCGAGCGAAAGACAAACAGCGTAGATGGAGCGCGCCGAGAGACCAAATTCGCGGGGGTCAGTACCTCGCCGGCGCGCCAGTCGGGGGACTCACCTCTCCTCTTCTCAAAAGAGACGCGACGAGCAGGCCGACAAGTACACCGATAAGGAGGGAGCCGGCGCTCGGCGCGCGCTTCCACAGCGTCGAGGACGTGAGGGGGCGCATTGCGCGGTAGGCGAGGATTCCTGGTCGGAACGCGCGAGGGGACGAGACGGGTGCGAGGGGGGAGGGGAGGTGGTCGACGAGTTGACGAGGATGACCAAGTGCGTTGGAAGAGCAAACCGGGATGGAGAGAGTAGTGAATGGAGTGGTTGCCACGATGAGCCGCAACTCTGAGCGAGAGCGTTCTGCGCCAGCTGCCGCCGCCGAGTTACGTTCCTTGATCCGTCAATCCAAATGGCCCTGAATACAACCTGAAGGCCTGAGGGGTTGGGCGGGCGCGGCGGGACGGGACCTAATTCGGTCTAATCACCCCCACCTGGCCTGCTACAAAAAAGTTGGAGACGGCGTGCCTGACATTCGGCGGCAACCTGAACGCTCAGACGAGGTCACTGAGGTCCCAGTGACCCGCCCTAACACTTGCTCGACTGGCGACGGTCGACCTCGGCGCTCTGGCCCTCACGAGGCCTGCAGAAACCCATACAGACAAACATGTTCTAACAGCTACACATGCCAAGGCAGACGGAGTGCTAAACCGCGGCACTACTCCTTCAACTCTTCTGGGTCGCCGATACCGTTCGCGCTGGTGTCAGGCGGTGCGGCGTGGAAATGGACTCACTTGATAGCGAAGATGCCCTCGGCCTCTGGCAAACATGGACTGTCCACGATTCGGCAGACACGCGACGAGCCGCGTCCCTTTCGCAGCGATAGACGCGTTGTAGACGCGTGGGCCATGATATTGCCGCCACTTAGGATCAGCACAGCTCGAGAATTCAAGGAGGCTGCAACTCACATGGGCTTCTTAGCGTCGGCTTGGGCAAACTGGCCGCCGTCCACCTGCGCCACAACCTGGTTTGTGACCACAACAGCAACGCCGAACTGTGGTTAGCTCATCTTCAACCATAGGTCTCACCTCGTCAGCCAGGCGCATAAGCGTTCGCAAGAACTTGGCAAGGTGCATCTGTCGTGCGCTCAGCTCGCCACGTCCAGAGAAGTCGGTGCGGTACAGTGACGTGCACGAATCGACAATCAGAAGAGAGAAGCTGTTGTCAGCATGCTTTCTCGGGCCGCAAGCTCACCGAGACTCTGCCATCATCGCACTCGCCTGGACCAGCAGCTGCATCTGGTGGTCGGAATTGTACGCTCGCGCGTAGGCGATGTTGTCCAGCACCTCCTCGCCATTGAGGCCATAGCGCTCAGCAACAGCGAGCATGCGCACGGGACGGAAGGTCCCTTCAGTGTCAATATATAGGCACTTGCCTTCTCCGCCACCCATGGATACGGGGAGCTGCTGTCAGCTGCTTGCAGGAGAAGGTAACCCACTTGGCAAGTGACGGCAAGCGTGTGGCAGATCTGCGACTTGCCAGTACGAAACTCGCCTGAGATTAGCATATATTGCCGTCGCGCCGTCTGGGCAGGGTAGACGCACCGAATAGTTCAGTGATGGCGCCCGTCTCAATGCCGCCTGAATGTTAGCTGAGTAGACAGCTTCAAGCTTACCGCCAAGGATGGTGTCGAGACCCACAGAGCCCGTGGTGATGTGCACAAGCTCTGAGCGACGGTGGTGAATCTCCGTGGCCGTTGTGAACCCCATTGGCACGAGCTTACATGCTGCCGTCAGCGCCACCCGACCTTCCTCGAACCTTCAGCGAGGATCTTGTCGGCCTTCGCCTCGGAGATGCCTTTGATGGTGCACAGTTGCTTTTTAGGTGTAAAAGCGACCGCTTCGATGGTATGCAACCCCGCCTCGGAGAGCTTGGCGCAGTCCTGTGTCGAGATGCCATACTCCTGTTTGTCAGCACGAGACATGGGGACGCGACGCACAGCAAGCTTGGCCACGACCATAGGGCCGAGGATCTCGAACTCGTCCTCCTCGCCCTCCTGTGCGGCGAATGGGTCCTGCTCCGGGTTCATTGTTGATGAGTGATGTGTGGAAAGTTGGTGGCGAGTGTAGAGTGAGATGAACGGGCGGCGATTTGTTTTGAAGATGGACAGTCGCGTCCGAGCGCTTGCCTTGGACCGAGTTGACGTGTGCAGCACTCAGGCACCATATTCAAGTTGACCGGACTGCGCGAGGCGATTTGCCTCCGCCACAGCCCGTGCCTGTGCTCACGCCATTAGGGTTGCAGGGACATTAGGGAGCTGTTGTAAGCGAAATCCTAATAGCAAGTCTTGGCGACCGCCTCTCAGTTCCGCGTCCTCACGGCCTTCCGATTGAACGCGGACATCACTTCTTGCACCGCCGACAGGAATAGCGTGAAGAGCGCTGAATGGAGGATGGCGGAGGGGGAGGCGGAGGCGGAGAGCTGGCAGTGCCCACACAAGCCGAAGCCTGCAACTCGGCCTGGTCAGTGACTTCTCATGTGTTGATTAGCAGCAGTCCGGTTTGAACTGCAGACCGTGTACCTAAGACGAAATGAATAGCTGAGGAGTGCAGACTGTGACATTGGAGTACAGCAATACATCAGAGCTAGCAGCAGGAGATTCGGGCTAAAGCATGTCGACAGCAATACAGAGCGTACCGTGAGCACCGAGTCCGTTGGAGGAGGTGATGTCGGAGGACATGAAGGGTGATGATGAATGGTCACGGCACGAGCGACTCTCACACAACCCACACTCCCCACCCCCCCACCATCAAACCGTAACTGCGCCGACCAAACCCTGCGAGTTGCCTGCCGGCCACCCCCGTTCCATCCATTCCCCTCCTCATCCGGCTCATCCCCTCCTCCCTCCATCCAGCCCGCACGCTTGTTCTCATCACTTCCAGCACCCACATCTCCCCTTTGTCTCTCGATCTCTCACCGTCCATCCAACTCATCCCCCCGTTCCACTCTCCACTTTCGGCGCCATATCCTGCCAGCCGCCCGTGGTTACGTAGCCGCCCATATCAGTTCCCGGCGGCCCGATCAATCTGGGGAGAGGAATCTCACATTCTTAGTCTTGTCTCTCGAGTCCAGCTGGCCTCAGGTCCATGGTCCACTCAGCCTTCGTCCGGATCCGCCCTCAACCTGCTAGCTCGTTTAGTCGATCCCCGCAACTAGTCTCCTCATCTCATCTCTCACTCATCCCGACGCGTTGCTCCTCCTCACCGACACTACAACAGTCCTGACGCGACTCCGTACAGCTATTCAGCTAGTCGACGCTTGACAGGCCCCTTACGACATCCTCGCCCTTCTTCCTCCAACTAGCGCAAGATGAGGCCAAAGGTTCTCGAGATCGCGTATGTCTTTCACCTCATTCACACTTTCCAGCTCCTCATCCATAGTCTCCCGGCGCCCACCCCTTCCGCACGCCGCGCTAATGAACAGCTGGCACGAAACGCAGGCCATTTACTCATGCGACTTCCAGCCGTTGCCTGTAAGCCAGCTTAAGCGCCTCCTTCCTTCGACTATCGAAGAGGAGGATCGCGTTGAGAAGGCCCCCACAGCAGCTCCCGCGCGGTCATACCGCTTCGCGACATGCGGTGGTGACTTCAAAGTCCGCGTAAGTAACGCTTCCTAGCAATGCTGATGGAAGCTCTGGATGATCCATCCTAACATTCCAACGGTCAATGCGGCCGCGCACGCCGCTCTCACCGGGCAAGAGGTTGCACCTCACCCCCCGCGCGTCGAGTACCTCGCTACGTTGTCCAAGCACACAGCAGCTGTCAACGTTGTACGCTTCTCACCTAATGGGCAGATGCTCGCTTCGGCCTCCGACGGTGCGTCCTTCCTCCGCTCAAACACTAACCTGTAGACGGAAACGTCATCCTCTGGGTGCCGTCTGACCGGCCCACGACCACATTCGGCGAGACGCCCGAAGAGACGCCTGACAAGGAGCACTGGCGGCCGCAGAAGATGCTCCAGGTCACTAACAAGCACGTCATGGACCTCTCATGGTCGCCAGATGGCGAGTTTTTCATCGCTGGATCGACAGACAACACGGCGACTATATGGAAGGCTTCCACCGGTAAGGTCTTGTCTGGACGTCATGCTGACGGACAAGGGGAATGCGTTTTTGCGCTCCGCGAGCACGCGCACATTGTCCAGGGAGTCAACTGGGACCCGCTGAATGAGTACATTGCAACGCAGAGCAGCGACCGGTAAGCCAAGCCCACGCCGAGAGAGCTGACACTGAGCGCCGTGCATGTCAACACGTTTGCGTTCCGCAATGGCGTGGCGGACGTTCACCCTGTCTCGCGCCCGTCGCGCATGGAGATCCGTCACTCGAGGACGCCCTCGATTCCAGGGCTGTCGCGCCCACCACTAGCGCGGCGAGGATCAGCGACTTCTGAGGCCGGATCTGTCGTGACCACGGCTTCTGAAATGACTGAGCAGCCTTCCGCTTCAGCCTTGGTAACAGGAAGCCAGCCCCAGCCTCCCCCTACCCCCAGCTCAATCTCTGTGCCCTCCACGCCCAACACAAGTGTGATGAACCCTCCTCCGCCGGGGTCTGGACACAAGGGCACAAGCTCACGTCGCTCATCCTTCTCTTCGCAGGCTCCAGGCTCGCCGGCGCTTAGCATATCAGCTCTCGGTCGCGGGCGCTCCCCTTCGCCGATACCCCCACTGCCAGCCATGCGTGCCCCTGCCCCGGCTATCCAATCGATAAGCCAGCGCCTCTACGGTGATGAGAGTGTGACCCGTTTCTTCCGCCGATTGTCTTTCTCGCCAGACGGTAGCCTGCTTCTCACACCGGCCGGGTTGATTGAGGACCAGATCTACAAGGGATCACCGCTGCTGGTGGCGCGCAGCCTGTCGCACGATGGCTCAGGATCCGAGAGCCTTTCGGCTCCCTCGCCTGCTCCACGACCGCGAGCCACCGATTCGGGCAAACCCACGGTGTACATCTATTCGCGCGCCAATCTCGCGCGCAACCCAATCGCCCACCTCCCTGGCCACAAGACTGCGGCCGTGTGTATCCGCTTCTCGCCTATCTTCTACGATTTGAGGACAACAGGTACCAGTTCTACCCCGAACGAGCCCAAGCACATCACCCTCGATGCATCCAACCCATCGCCCGTCCACGTATCCCTGTCGATGCCTCCACCGCCACCTCCGCACAAGGAGGGCGAGGACAAGGGCAAGGATAAACCGTTGGGCAGCATCTTCGCCTTGCCCTATCGCCTCCTGTACGCTGTGGCGTGTCAGGACGCTGTGTTATTGTACGACACACAACAGGCCGGGCCGGTCGCCATCTTCCGCGGCCTTCACTACGCGGGCTTCACGGATATTGCCTGGTGAGTCTAGCCCGAGTTCGACTCGCTGACGCCTAGGTCCCCTGACGGGCAAGCCATGATGCTCTCGAGTGCCGATGGTTACTGCTCGATAGTGGTCTTCGACCTCGGTGAACTGGGCACAGTCCACCCAACTCAACAACACCACCGGCAGCTCGCAGCGATCGCACAGGCGCACGGTGGGAGCACTTCGGCTGCAGCAACGCCAGTTCCTCACTCGCCCTCTTTGTCGACGATGCGTGCTAGCCCCGCTCCGCCCCGCAGCGAACGCGAGTCGTCAGTGGCTTCAAGCGCGGCCGTTCCCCCGCCTTTGTTCTCGCAACAGCGCGCACCTTCATCCGCAAGCAGTGTGGACCAGCCGCTGCCCACGCCTAGTGAGGACGAGATGCTCGCTGCGGTACGCCGGCCATCTGCGGCCGGCTCTGCGACTGACGACGCCAAGCGGGGTGCCGAGGATGCGGGCGCGCCCAGGAAGAAGCGGCGTGTCATGCTCCAGCATCTCGGCTCGGACTAGTGGGAGGGGCGCTTGAGTGGTGGCATACGAGTCAGACGAGCGACGCATATGCATGGAAGTACTATGTCATTTGGGCTCCTACTCGCGCGCACATGACGTTGCTGTATGCGGATGCTGGGAAAGGCAATGGGAATGGGAATGGGAATTCAACGCGGCACTCATGACGCGCAGCGCGACGTCGACGTATTGTCGGTCTTGTGTTGAGACACAGTCGAGCATGTGATGTCACCATCCTTACCACCGCGCTCGAGCACGACATCGAGGCACTCAGCACCGCCGCCAAAAGCGGCATGCCGACTTTACGACACCCGGCGGTGTCGTCAACAGGTACGCGTAACATGCCTCTTCCGCCTGCCCCAATTCATCAAGGTAATGTCGTGACTGAACCAGCCACTCTGGCATCTATGCTCGCAGCCGGATACTCTCCACATACCTCTCCACATCCAACCAAATATCCATAACACCATGCCATGCTATCTATACAATGATACAAAAGTCCCAGATCTAAATCCAGCGCTGCCTGCGCTCCTCCCCCTCGATCCCAGCCTCTATGCCGCCAATATACTGCCCGTACTCTGCATACGCATCGGGGGGCACGGAGAGATGGCGGCTCTCGTCGGCGCTGAGCCCGCCGCGCACGGTCGTCTGCACGTCGGGCGCGGCATCGTAGAAGCTGCCGCGCGAAAAGTCGGTCTCGAGCCCGGCGCCTGCGATGCCGAGGCCGGCGGGCGCGCCGTCGCGCGTGCCCCCGATGCCCCACGCGCCTTGGGCGGCGGCGGCGTACGCGTGCGACGAGTCCGACGTCGCGGGCGACTGGTCGGAGAGCGGCGAGGGGCGGGAGGGCCGGTGCCGGCTCGAGAGGGGGGAGGAGGCATTCGCGGCCGCTTGGTCGGCGGCGGCGGCGCGCAGCGCGCCGCGCGAGTTGCGCGCCCTCTCGTTCGGCGGGGAGGGGGGGGACGACGAGGAAGAGGGAGAGGACGAGGAGGAAGGAGACGGCGGAGACGGCGGGAGCGCGGGCACCGACTTGCGCGGGATAGACTTGGCCCGCGTCACCGGCGCCGAGGTGTACTGCGACATCGACGAGCGGCTGTATCGCGACTGCGCTTGTGCTTGTGCCTGCGCCTGCGCCTGCGCCTGCGCCGCCACCGCAGGCTCGAGCACGCCGAGGAGCGCAGGCTCGTACCCCTGCGCCTGCACGTAGTCGGGCGCGGCCTCGTACCCGTACCCCCTGTCGGTGTTGAACGGGTCATACTCCTTCGCCCGGGAATATGTGCGCGGCGGGGCGGGGAAGGGCACCGAGGCGTCGAAGCTCTTCTCGGTCGGCGAGGGCGTCTTGAGCAGCGTCCCGCTGTAGATCGACGACGAGGCAGAGTACTGGCTCCGAGCTTTTGCATGCGCCATCATCTGCTTGTGCCGCCGGCGGATGTATGCGCGGCGCGCGGCTTCGCGGTTCTCTCTCCGGTGCCGGATGTACCACCACACGAAAGCCATGACCGCCAGTCCCGCGGCGATGCCGCCGACAAGGCCGCCGACAATCGGGCCCACGTTCACCTTGCTCTGCGTCGCCGCTTCAGTGGGCACGTATGGCGCCGGCATCGTGCTCAGCACCGTCACGATCGTGTCTCTGCCCTGCCGGACGACGGTGGGCGCCGGCGTCGGCGCCGGCGCCGGCGCGGGGTGTGGCTGGGGGGCCATGGCGAGCTAGGCGGGGAAATGGGGACTGAGAGGAATGGGGAAGAAGAAGCTGCCGTCAGAATGAGAATAAGAACAAGAAGAAAAGGCCTGGGCGGGTGTCGGGCGCCGGGGCGGTCAGGCAGATAACCTGCGACGCAGCATGATGGCATGGCGCCGAGGACAGTGCGTGTGGTCAAGAGCCCCGTTCTTGCGGCGGAAGCGATTCGGCTGCGAGATACCTGTTCACAGGCCACAGGATCTCCAGGATCACCAGGATTCACGATCCTGGGCATGCTCGGCGACGCACGGATGCGCGGCGCCACCGCTCGGCGCCACGGCGCGCGGCGTGACACGCGGCCGATCGTCGGCTTCCCGCCCCTGAGCGCCACGCTCATTTGCACGCGCACTCACCTGGTAGTGGTGGCCTTGGCTTGAGGGAAGGTAATTTGAGGTTTCAAGGATCCGGGAGGAGAGGTGATGAAGCGGAGCGTGCTGGGCTTGGCTTGGGCTTGGCGATGATGAGCCTGCGTTTGCGCTTGCGTTGCGCTTGCGCAATTTGCGTCGTTGTTGTTATTGACGAGCGAGGTTATGCTTGAGCAAGAGGCCGTCGTCAAGTGGAACGACCAAGGTTGGTGTGGGAAAGGGGCGGTGTCGACAATGTGCCTGTTCCGGCGAGCTACTCTACTGTCGAGTCGTGGTTGCTGACGACGTTTCCAGAGCGACGCGGGGGGCTGGGAGTAGAAGGCAGGCAAGGCGAGATGGGCCGACAGGGGACCGAAGAAACGAAGAAACGGAAAGGAGGGTGAGTGCGCGGGGTGCGGGGCGCGGGGCGTGGAGCGCGGGGCGCAGGTCGATGAGCGTGGAGCGTGGATCCAGCAAAGAGCGAAGAGTGAGGAGAAGTGCGCAGGGGGGCGTGGTGGTGGCGTGCAAGGGCGATGATGGTGTTCGGAAAAGAAACGAGGAGGAGAGGAAGAGGATGATGTCGAGTTGAGCTTTGATGATGATGGGAGTGCGATGGTCGCCGCAGTTGTTGAAGAAGAGCGGGACGGGGGTGGCGGAGCGGAAGTCTCGAGCTGCCAGGGAAGGGAGTGACGAGAAGGTTGATCTGATGAGCTCGCGGAAGGGGAGGTATGCGAGAGATGGATGTTTTGTCGGCGTTGAGTGATTATCTAGTCGATGAGAGCAGTGAGCAGAGCGGAGTGAGCAGAGAGCATAAAGAGAGAGACGATGATGAATGCATCGAGCGGGCCACGAGCAGATGATGATGATGAGCAGGCCACTGTCCAGCTATGTCCAGGAAAAGCAGCTTGATGATCGTCTGGATACTGTTTTGGGTTTCACCTTACGCTTAATCAGGGCCTCCCGCGCGGCAGGCAGCCCGCACCCGCTGTCCTTCTGTCTTTCTTTTTTCTCTCTCTCTCTCTCTCTTCTTTTACTCTCTGCCTCTCCCGCTCTCATCTCTCCTGCAGCGCGCACTCTTGACCAACATTGCCGTGCCGGGCACAGGCACCGGGACTCGTTGTCAAGTTCCTCATAGAATTTGCACGCAGGGAGCCTCCCGCACCGCACCCGGCTTGATCGTCCCGGTCCAAGACCAGGTACTGTAGGCAGGTCGACGCGCCCAGTGTGGCGGAGAGCATGACACTCCCGCGCGGTAAAGGGATGCAAGCCACGCCGCATAATTAGGAGACGACGATAGCCAGTAACCAGTAGCCAGTAGCCAGTAGCCAGCTGGCCAGCTGGCCAGGAAGAGAGGGTGTACAAAAGTTTTGGAATGCATTCCGCCACAAGACCTGTTTTGTCCTGTTGGCTTGGATAATCTAGCTTTGAAGCGTTCTGAAGCAATTCATTCAAAATGAGGGTTAATAAGGGGAGGCTGAGGATGACGAGGAAATCGGCATTACTCTACTCCAAGTATAACCAGTCGCACACGTGTTTGTTAATCCCCACCAACTCTGCAACTCTTGTCGCCGGCCACACTGAATCTTGTCTCTATCCACAGTCGTGAGGCACGTCCACCATCCAGCACATAGTCCGCGTCTAATATCCGATGCATTACTGTATCCCAGCCTACAGCCAGGAGAGGAGTGAGAGACAAATGAGGTAGTCAGCCCGCAGAGCAAGCGCCAAACGTGCCAGTAGTAGTGTGCCTTCCAGAGGCATGTTTTACATGACAATGCGAGGCTCCGTAATGCTCGTCGAGATCTGTTTGGTCAGTTACTGCTCGTGCCATCCCCCACTCACGCTCTTGTGTGGCAGAACAGAGGCACCGTTGACATACAACTCGTCCTTGATCGAAACATCGTCACCAAGAACGGTGATGTTCTCGACGCGGCACTGCAAGTTAGCCACACAGCAAGGCAGGCACGGTCGCCAGAAGATTTACAAGTAGGCGCGTCTCAGCCATCGCTCAGCCTGTGCTCCATCCCACAGGCTGGAGCAGGCAGTCGACATGGCAGCCGATAGCAAGCAAACCAAGTTTGCCTTCGCTGGAGTCCAAAACTGGACATCAGGCTGGCAATATTCCGTCTGGCGGCATCCGCCGGATCTGCCAGAGCAACGCTGCACTCTTTGCACCGCCCACCACCCAACATCTCCACTCACCCAGCGGCCAACAGTCGAGTTCCAGCCGATAATAGACGACGCAATCCACGCGTGGTCGCGGACCTCGGCGTTGGACATGATCACGCAGCGCTGGAGACGCGCGCCCTTGCCAATCTTGGCACCGGGGCCAATAACGACGTTGGGGCCAACGAGAGCAGTGGGGTCGATCTCGGCCGTAGGGTCGACGAGGACGTTGCCGCCGTGCACCCACTTGTTCTGCGCCGGGTCGGCGAGATCAGGCGAGCCCTGCGACGTGAGGTGGGAGAGGTAGAGGCAGGTGCCTGCTGTCAGAACCGCGATTCGCGCGATCACGCACCCGAGATGAAATCCTTGGGCTGTCCGACGTCCATCCAGAAGCCCTGGAGGTCGTAGGCGTGCAGCTGCTGGTCGGCAGCGATGGCGGGGAAGATCTCCTTCTCGATCGATGTGGGGCGGAGCTGTTGTTAGCGGCTAAAAGAGGGGTGAGCTTACCTCGATGCGGTCGAGGACAGAAGGGTTGAACATGTAGATACCGGCGTTGATGCGGTTGCCGACAAACTCGACGGGCTTTTCAACGAAACGGTCAATGATTGTAGACCCGGGCTTGGTGACGACGACACCGTACGCCGAAGGCTCGGAGACCTTGGTGACCATAATCGAGCCTTCGCAGCCGTGCTTGAGGTGGAAATCACGGAACGCCTCAAAGGGGTAAGTGCAGGTGACGTCCGAGTTGAGGACAAAGAATGGCGAGTCGTCCTTGCCAAGGATGTCGCGGGCAAGGGCGAGGGGGCCGGCTGCGGCGTCAGATCGTTGCGCGTTGTCTGTCTGCCCCAAAGGCACAGCCAAAAGCTACACACCAGTGCCCAAAGGCTCAGTCTCAACGGAGAAGTTGATGGTGATGCCGTACTCCTCCTCGGTCTTCTTAAGGACCGAGACCATGACCTCGGGGCGGTAGTTGACGGCAAGAACAATGTCCTTGACACCGGCCTGACACGTCAGCAGGGTTAGCGGGGTTGACAAACCTTGACGAGGGCCTCGATCTGGTGTAGGCTGCGAGGTTAGCATTAAGCGAATAGTGGGGTGCAGGGGTAGGGTTCCAGCGGCTACGATGCAACGAGGAGGGCAGCCCTCGCCGCGTCTTTGACACGGGTGACTGCGGAAATCGCTACGCTGGGATCGCCGACGCCCCGGAGTGTGGTGTGTACGCACATCATGGCCTGGAGGTTAGTGGTGATGCTCGGGGCTTGTAAAATATTAGTTGGTGTCAACTTGCCTTGTTGCAGAACTCGACGAGGGGCTTGGGCCACGACAGCTGGGCGCGTTAGCAGGCGCGTCGCGTCACGTTGCAGAGCAATATGCCGCCGGAGTTGATGCGGCATGCCTCGATCGCAGCGTATGCAGCTGGCTGATGGGGCGCTGGGAGGTGGAAGAACTCACAGTGAGGGGCCTAAGACGAGTGCCGAAACCACCGACAAGGATAAGAGCGTGCACAGCTGTCAGAAATGTACTCGGAATGTGTGGTGGTGGCTATTGGGGACGACGAGGTGCGGTTGGTGGTGGTCTGGAGCCAGGAAGGACTTATCTTCATTTTGAGTGTGTGGGAGTTTGGGGGGGGGGGGGGGGGGGGAGAGGAGGTTGGAGGGTGATGAGAAGGAGAGTAGAGATGGAGGAGAGAGAGAGAAAGAGAGAAAGAGAGAAAGAGAGAGAGAGAGATGTGTTGGAAGGATGGACGGAGAGTGAGGAGTGGAGGAGGACGTGGATGGGTGGATCGGCTGGATGGATGCGATTGGGGATTCCCTGGGGGGAGGGGGGAGGGAAGGCGGAACAGTGTTCGAGGGTGCTTGAAGGGGTCATTCAAATCCCAACACGGGCCGAGAGCGGGTTTCTTTTCGCATTCTCTCCAATCTTGCATGCTTGCATGCTATTATTTCTCTTCCATATCCATCACATCTCTCTCTCTCGTCTCTCGTCTCTCGTCTCTCTCTCTCTCTCTCTCTCGTTCTCTCACAGGCACAAACCTTGGTCGTTTTGCCGTGCTCTTAGCCCCGGTGGCTCCCCTCGGTGGCCTGGCCGAAATTCATTCAATTACCTTGGCCATTCTATTGATTTCTAGGGAACGGTTAGGGCGCCATGCGCCATGCATGGCAGCACGGTGCGCGACAGAGCGCGACTTGACGAGGCGCAGGCTTGGGGGCTGGAGCCTCAAGAAGTGGCGTCGGCGGCGCTACAGCATGGTCATGCCATAACAATACAAGGAGAGACAGGCAGCTTGCAGCTTGCAGCAGTTGAGTGCATGAAGAGCAAGATGCGAGATGGAGATGTGATTTGGAACGTTGCAAGCAAGAGGCCGAAACGTGTACCGAGTGTCCCTGATGAGCATCATCAGGGTGGGGGAGGAGGACGAGATGGTCGGCGGTGCGTCGGGGACTGCACGCTGCACGCTGCATGCCGCATGCTGCATGCTGCTCGCTACGCGTTGCATGCATGCACAAGGTCTTTGAGCAGAGCGGATCGAGCGACTAGCAGGTGGGCTATACCGTAGTATGCCGGGGGAGATGACTGCTCGAGCAGCTCGCTCATGCGCTCAACCCCCCCCCCCTCCTGATCGCTCTCGGTATCCTCGTCATCCTTGACGCGCCTCGTCGCGCCTGTCGTCAACGCCACCAGCTTAAGGGATAGAGTAGAGTACATGCCGCGCAATGCCATCAGACACGGGCGTGCCATCATACATACATGGCGACAAGCGACATGAACCCAGCATCCAGCATCCAGCATATCCCAGCGTCTTACACACGCCCCGACGCGCTCAAACTTTTTTCTGCACGACTCGCGCTGATCCGCTGATCCCCCTCCCTCTGGAAACCGAAGCCTGCCGGATCTGCCCTGGTCCCTGTTCCCTGTGCGCCCGTGCATGCCGTCTCATCATTATCTTCCCGCACTTCCCATATTGTCTTCCCTTTCTAATCATTTCTATTCCCTATTTCCAACTGATCGCCGTCGATCTCCCGCGCTGCAACGCTCCCGCTGCTGCCGGCCACAGCGAGCCCCGCAGCTCGAGCCCCCCGCCGGCCGCCGCCAAGCGGTCGCTCGGGCGCGTCACGCCGCGCCGGATGCTGCTCGCTTGCCTGATCAGACCTGGTCGGGGTAGCGGTGCCGAGGTGGGAGTGTCAGGTAGGGAGCGAGCGGGGGCGAGGGGATGGGGGCGGGCGGCGGTCTGCGGGCGGCGGTCTGCGATGCCCGAGTTGGGGAGAGGTGGGAGAGGTGGGAGAGGTGGGAGAGGTGGGAGATGGGAGATGGGAGATGAGCAGGAGAATAGCAGCGATGATTGTTGCTGGTGGAAGAGCATGTCTCAGAGTCCGCAGTTGTACTGTAGCATCGTCGCCGAAAAGTCGCCGGGCATTGTCGACACGCCCCACACCCGCGGCACCCCCCAGCACCCCCCGGCACCCCCCGGCACCCCCCGGCACGCTCGGCGCCTCATGCTCATATGCACGTCAAATATGCAGACGCCCCCAGCGCACCCTCGATGCCGCAACGCTGCCGATGGCATTCGACGCGCCCGAAACGCGGAATGCATTACTCCCATTGATGACTGCCACACCACTCACCACCGGCTATTTCCGCCACGTGACCATCCACTCGCCACCCAACTGGAATTCACCAACAACTGACGTCGCCAACGCACAACCAACGCCTTCCTCCCTCTCCCCCCTCCTCTCCCCACTCCCCACCGCCGCCATGTCCGGACGCGACCGCGATCCGCGCCACCGCGAGCCGCGGGTGAAGAACCGCGCGCCCGCCGCCGTGCAAATCACCGCGGAGCAGCTGCTGCGCGAAGCGCACGACAGGCAAGAGCAGCCGGTACAGGCGCCCAAGCAGCGTATCCAAGACCTCGAAGAGCTGCACGAGTACCAGGCCCGCAAGCGGACAGAGTTCGAGGCGCGCATCCGGTACTCGCCGGACGTGATCCCCGCGTGGATCCGGTACGCGACGTGGGAGGCGTCGCAGAACGAGTTTGAGCGCGCGCGCTCCGTGTTTGAGCGTGCGCTGGACATCGACCCGCGCCATACCGAGCTATGGACAAAGTACTGCGACATGGAGTTGCGCGCGCGCAACATCAACCATGCGCGCAACCTCTTCGATCGCGCCGTCACGCTCCTGCCCCGCGTTGACGCGCTGTGGTACAAGTACGTGTATCTCGAAGAGCTGCTCCTCAACATTGCCGGCGCACGGCAGGTGTTTGAGCGATGGCTCCAGTGGGAGCCACAGGACAAGGCCTGGCTCAGCTACATCAAGCTTGAGGAGCGGTATAATGAGCTCGACCGCGCCAGCGACATTTACGAGCGTTGGATCGGCACACGGCCCACCCCGAAGAACTGGTGCCTCTGGGCCAAGTTTGAGGAGGAGCGCGGCAAGCCCGACAAGGCGCGAGAGGTGTTCCAGACAGCACTCGAGTTTTTCGGCGACGAGGAAGAGCAGATCGAAAAGGCGCAGCAGGTGTTTGCTGCGTTTGCACGCATGGAAACACGGTTGAAGGAGTTTGAGCGCGCGCGGGTGATTTACAAGTTTGCTCTCGCGCGGCTGCCACGCTCAAAATCCGCCAACTGTGAGTGACAAGCACTGAGGAGCTAACACCAGTGTACTCGTCCTATACCAAGTTTGAGAAGCAGCACGGTGACCGGTCTGGTGTCGAGCTCACCGTGCTGGGCAAGCGACGAATTCAGTACGAGGAAGAACTGGCATACGACCCGACAAACTACGACGCATGGTTCTCGCTTGCAAGACTTGAGGAGGACGCATACCGCGCCGAGAAGGAGGACGGGGAGGACGCTGACCCGGCGCGCGTGCGCGAGGTGTACGAGCGTGCCGTCGCCAACGTCCCGCCCGCAAGCGAGAAGCGGTACTGGCGGCGATACATCTACCTGTGGCTGCAGTACGCAGCATTCGAAGAGATCGACACGGAGGACTACGATCGCACGCGTGACGTATACAAGGCTGCGATCCGGCTCGTACCGCACAAAGTCTTCACGTTCGCCAAGCTGTGGCTGGCTTACGCCTATTTCGAGATCCGGCGGGTGGACGTGAACGCGGCGCGCAAGGTGTTGGGCGCGTCGATTGGCATGTGTCCCAAGCCCAAGCTCTTCGCGGGCTACATCGAGCTGGAGATGCGGCTGCGCGAGTTCGACCGCGTGCGCAAGCTATACGAAAAGTTCCTGTCTTTCGACCCGTCCCTCTCCGCCGCCTGGATTCAGTGGACACAGATGGAGGCGCTGCTCGAGGACTTGGAGCGCGTGCGCGCCATCTTCGAGCTGGCAGTGCAGCAGGACCTCGACATGCCCGAGCTCGTGTGGAAGGCGTACATCGACTTTGAGATCGAGGAGGGCGAGCGCGAGCGCGCCCGCCACCTGTACGAGCGCCTGCTCGAGCGCACGGGGCACTACAAGGTCTTCGTGTCGTACGCGCTCATGGAGGCGAGTGCGCTCGGCGACGACGAAGAGGGCGACGCAGAAGAGGGCGACGCGGCGCGCGCCCGCGCCATCTTCGAGCGCGGGTACAAGGACTTGCGGGCGCGCGGGGAGAAGGAGGACCGCGCGCTGCTGCTCGAGGCGTGGGATGCGTTCGAGGGCGAGCACGGCGACGACGCGGACCGCGAAGCCGTCGCTGCGCTGCGGCCGCAGACGCGCCGCCGGTGGCGGCCCCGCGGGGACGGCAGCGGCGAGTACGACGAGTACTGGGACATTGTGTTCCCCGACGACGAGAAGGAGGAGAATCCCGCCGCGTTCGCCATCTTTCAGGCTGCCAAGGAGTGGGCCGCGAACAAGGAGAACGGCGCGGGCGGGCTCAACTACGAGATGGACGATTCGGATTCGGACTCGGATTCCGACGGCGACGAGGGGGAAGCCGAGGGTGGGAAAGGGGAAGGGGAAGGGGAAGGGGAAGGGGAAGGGGAAGGGGGAGAGGGAGAAGGAGAGGGCATGGACGAGGACTAGATGCATGCAGCATTGTTCGATCAGTGACGATGGGTGCTTGAGCGGCGGCGGGGGGATGGCCTGCGCTGGCATCGGGTCGCGGGCTCTTTGCCCGTAGCATTGCTTCACAAATGTTGTGGACATTGCCGTATTTGGTTTCACTTACGACGAATGCGCAGACGATGGCCGGGATGGCATTGGAGTGCCTGCACAGGACAGATAAGACAGATAGAACCAGAACCAGAACCAGTCCGGAGGGCAACAGGGGGCGGTCAACAAAGACAGCATCACAGAGTCAGTCAGCGGGCAGGACCAGCGAAACGAGGCCCCAGGTCGACAACGCCTGCACTTCCCGCCGGAATGCCCCTCGCCGCAGCCATCGCAGCTTGGCAGTAGCAGTCCTCACAGCCACCCTCGCAGCCTCCTCAGCTTCGCGGCCATCATAGCAGCCCGCGCCGACCACCGGATCCCATCCCTTGACCGCCGGACGCCGCCGCCGCCGTTCTCTAGGCAGCCAATTCTCGCATCAGCACGCAGACTCAGCCGCACAGGGCCAGATGATGCGACGCTGGCCGGGCATGACGAGAGGTTACGAGAGTGTGGAACGAGAGTTTGAAACGTCGTTGCCGCGTCGGGCAGTGGCTCACGGGGTGCAGTTCGACGGCGCAGGACGCAGTCGTATCACTCGCAAGGCACTGCACGTGCAGCCAAGATGAGCTCATGATCTCGTCTCGACTGCCTCTGAGGCGATGCTAGTCCAGACCTCAGACTGTCGCAGTCAGTCGACAGCTACTCCGCAGGTGCCGAACAGTCGCCCCGCCGCTGCCCCAGAACGCCCAGAGCATTCCTACAAGTGGCAGTGGCGACGCCTTGGCTCCTCCCTCTCTCCTCGCTCATCTCGCTCATCTCGCTGCCGCATTGCGCCTCACGCCCGCATGCCCGAACAGGCGTGAATCGAATCTACGCACTGACCGCCTCGCACCGCGATAGCGTCGACATGTCCTCATCTCCATCCTCCATTCTCTCTCACTCCTTGACCATGCTCCTCCTCCCCACCCTCGTCCTCGCCCTCGGCGTGCGCGCACAGCTCACCGACCTCCCGTTCGCGACGACGGACGACAGCCCCCTCCCGCCCCTTTCGGCCGTCAGTGTCCGCTCGTCCGCCCCCGTCCTCTCCGCCTCCGCCTCCGCCTCAGTCTCCATCTCGCGCCCCTCCGTTCCCTCCGTCGCCTCCGTCGCCTCCATCGCCTCCCCCTCCCCCTCCGCCGTCCGCTCCGCGCTCACCTCCATCTCCTCCAAGACGACAGCCCAAGTTGTGACGATCACCGCGACGGCGTCCGCCGCACCAGCCAACAGCGCCCGCATCCGCGGCGGGGACGTCGCCGCCATCGTCCTCGGCATCATCTGCGTTCTCGAAGCCGTAGTCATCGTGCGTGTTTTCCCCTTCCTCCTCCCTCCCTTTCTGACCCCAGGCCGTCCTCGCGCTCCGCACGCGCAACCTCGCCCGCCGCTCCACACGCCTCGCGCGCACGCTGCGCGACCTGCCCCCGCCCCCGCCCCCGCCCCTCATCAAGCCCATGAACGTCGTGCACGTCGCCCCGCCGCCTATTGTGCGCAAGGTGTCGCGTAAAGCGCCGCCGAAGTACGAGGAGGGGGACGGTGTGTAGCGGCATACGACAGTGTGCAGAAGACAGAAGTCAGAAGGAAGACGACAAGGACAAGGTCGGAAGGAGATCGCCGCGGTGCTAGACACTGCTAAGCTGTGCACGGCACCACTGTCATTACTTTGTAACATGGATCGTTGTATGCGGGTTCGCGAGATGGAGCCTAAAGTGGGAAGCTCGAGTCGTCGCAGTTCAACTCCCCTTACGTGGCGATCCTTGGCAGAGCCGATACTCCTCTGCCCCGTCATTAGGCATAAGCGCAACCCGACATCCTGTACATTATCATGATATTACAACCCCAAGCATCCCCCTACTTCCGATTCGGCCATTCAATCATGTCGATGAGGCGGTCCAGCCGCGCAAGCTGCACGACATTGTCGGCAAGCTGCTTGTCCTTGAACGCCAGCTGCGCCTGCAGCGCCGCAATCTCCTTCTGCATTTCCTCGTACACCTGCTGCTGTGCGATCAGCCGGTCGTCCCGGTCATGCAGCAGATGCGTGAGCTGCTGGTGCTTCACGCGCAGATATCCCCATTCAGCGCAACGCAGGCAGTGCCGGCTGCACCCTGCTGGCGGGACGTCGGCCTCGTTCTTGATGACGATGAAATCGACTTCGTGTGTACTTTTGCGCTTTCGCTTGCCTTCGGCAGTGGGGGCAGTGGTGGATGCTGACGTATTGGTGGACGCGGTTGCGGCGGTGGACGTTGATGCGACGGTGGACGCTGATGCGGCCGTGGACGCTGAGGCGGCCGTGGACGCTGATGCAGCGGGAGTGGCCGCTGATGCAGCGGGAGTGGGCGCAACGGAGGCCGGCGCAGTGGTCCGGACCGGCGTAGGGGTTGAAGCCTGCGTGCTTCCGGGGGCTGGCGCGACGTCGGAAGCCGGTGCGACGGTTGACGCGACTGTTGACGCGACGGTTGACGCCGGCGCGATGCTGGGGGCTAGGGCGACAGTTGACGCTCGCGCAACGCTCGGCGCTGGCGCAGCGTTTGGCGCAGGCGCAGCAGTTGGCGCTGGCGCAACGGCTGGCGCTGGCGCAACGGCTGGCGCTGGCGCAACGGCTGGCGCCTGCGCGATGATGGACGCCTGCTCGGCGGCGGCAGCTGGGGCAACGGCATCGACTGAAGCAGCGGTAGCAGCAGGCGTAGAGATGCGAGCTGATTGAGAGGCGGGAAGTCGCTCACTTAGGGACTGAGCCGCTGGAGGCTCAGCGCTGACTGCCACAGCCGTGAGAGATTGAGCATTTGTGGGCTCAGCGGTGGTAGGAGAAGCGGACAGCGCAGCAGGAGTAGGGGCGGTCGAAGGCCGAACATGGACAGGCCGCGCGGTGGGGGAAGTGGCAGTGGATGGTGATGCGGTCAGTGGCGGAGCCGGCGCGACAGAGGGCGGCGGGCCTACCGCATATGAGGATGGGAAAGCGCTGGGCGGCGCAGCGGAGAGAGGCGGAGGCAAAGTGTCAGACTGTGAGAGCGAAATGGTTCGAAGAGATGAACCATGGGGCGCAGCAACTCGGAGGGGCGAGGGGCCAGCTGCAGCTGTAGCACCAACGCGGAGGGGCGAGGGGCCAGTAGAGACACCTGCTCGGAGGGGCGAGGGAGCAGACTTGGTAACATCTCGGAGAGATGAGGTGTTCACGCGGGGGCGGGACGGTCCTGCCTCGGCGTTTGGCCGTTGCGGTGCCGAGTTGGAGACGGGGCGGATCGTCGAGGAGGAGGAGTCGAGAGGAGGGCGTGTTGGAGCCTCTTTTGGAGGTGCGACGCGGCTCGACGGACTCGACGTGCTAGCTGTGTTTTTGGGCGGTTTGGTTGCGTCCTTGGGCGGCTTGGCTGCGTCCTTGGGCGGCTTGGTTGCGTCCTTGGGCGGCTTGGTTGCGTCCTTGGGCGGCTTGGTTGCGTCCTTGGGCGGCTTG